GCCGAGAGCAAGAGAGCTCAGCCCCTTCCACAAAGAGGGTGACCCCTAGAAACAAAGGAACCCTTAAGCACACCAAGGGTTCCAAGTGGAAAGATTTTTAGTGCCCTTCATAAAACTGGAAGTGTCCTGGAGTTATCAGAAACTGTGGACACATTTCAATTCCATTCCTAATCAGTTCAGAAAAATTCAGGCACTGAGCACCGGGGCAGTTTAGCAAACTAGGTGGGATAACACAAGAAAGGGGAGAATCCCTCTTTCAGACACTCCGGAGTCCAGAACCCTGGGCAGTGGGAAGCCCAGGATCCTTCCTAATGGTTTCTGCTGTCTTACAGCACACACATCCTCCTGAGTTACTCATACACTAACAGAGGCTGATCTAAGTGTCCAACTCCTTTAAGTGTGTTTCCTCTAATTGACTTATCATGAGGAGAAAGACAGTAAGAAATATTAAGTGGTCGTCCTCTGCCTAGGAAGGAAGTGAAATATTGACAAGTGGCTGAAAACTCTTCAAGGTGCTTCAAGGAGGTGAGAGATGAATGATGAGATTCCCAGGCTAATTTTTGTTTCTTCTTGGGTCTATCCTAATTAATTTAAACACAGATGGCCAACTAGTGTAGTCACACGTAGTGTGGGCTGAAATCAAGGCTCAGTGGTGCACATGACTTAGGGCAGTTGAAAAACCTTGCAACCCACTTCTGCACTTGACAAAGGGTAGACAAGAGTTAGATACTAAACACCACTCGGTGGCCAAAGAGACGGCTCGGCAGGTAGAGTCTCCACCTCCGCGCTCCGGCAAAGTTGTCCTCTGACTTCCACCAGCGCCAGGGCTCGTGCATATACACACAAATAAACAACATCTGAAAGTAAGCATAGCTCGTCTTCCGCATGACAGCACACACGCAATAAAGGGGCTGTCTCTTAGCATCTTTCCTCACCCCACTCCTCCTTTGGATTATGAACCCCTTCAGAGGCCTCCGCATCACTACTTCCCCACCGCAGAAGCCCAAGCGTCCACCCTGGCCCGTAACTGAAGCGGGATTTGGTTCAGTCTGCAGGAGCCGAACTCTGGGGGGGAATCCTTGGCCAAGAAAACCAAACCCAGAGAAGCGAGGGTTGGATCCTCAGCGAACAGCTCGGTGGCGCCTGCTATTTACAGTCCGTCCACTCTCTACTAACGCACTGAGAGGGAAGAAGTCCCCGGAACGACCCTCCAACTTGGTAAGGGAAGCCCCAAGATGCCCGAAGACCGAGATGCTGGCACTGGAGGGGCTGAGGCGGAGGGAGTGGAAGTCGTCCTGGCCCTCCCCACGGGGGACAGCCGGGTACCAACGAGCCTCCCAGCTCTCCTCCGGCAGGCCCTCCCATCGGTGGGCTGAGGACCTGGCCGGGGCCCGCCATCCTCCCCGACGAAGTCCAGCCGGCTCCTCGGGGCCGCCGGGCGGGAAGCGGGGACCTGAGGCCGCGGCTGAGACCCCAACTCCGGAATGTGCTGAGAGAGGGGTCACCGGGGTAGGAGCCGGGCGGGGAGGACCCGGAGAGGGGCGGGGCCCGGAGGGAAAACGAAGTCGGGGGTCTCCCGCTTCCAGCACTCGGGGTCGCCGGCTCCCTGCCGGCCGCG